AACATGTACAACATTTGTGATAAGCCATACACATGCACGAATGAATGTACATATATATATATACAACATATGTATGTATGTATGTATGTATGTATGTATGTATGTATGTATGTATGTATGTACGTGTGCATGTATGTATGCATGTATGTATGCGTGTATGTGCATACTACATATACATCTTACCTTTCATGTTCCTTCCTTTTGTCTGTTTATACTTGTTCATTGCTTCTGCACCTATTGATTTATCTGCGAATCTGTTCATGTATCAACTGATTCATGTATGAATCATTCATATACTTATCTAGTTTTCACACTCTGTATGTACCTATACATATATATATGTATATATATATATATAGATGTATTCGATATGTGTGTGTTTTGCGTAAACGTACGTGTGTGCACACCTGTATATATATATATATATATGTATATATATATATATGTATAAGTAAATGTACATGCACATGTCTGCGTATGTGTATATGCACATGCAAAGAAGATGTATAAGTATATGTATGTGTATATGTGCATGTATCTGTGTATGCATATGTCTATGTATGTGTATATGTATGTGTATGTGTAGTTTATGTATGTGTATGCGTATGTGTCTGTGTACGTGTATCTCTATATGTTTATGTTTATGTATATGTTTGTGTATATACATATGTACAGGTACTGTAGTGCATTCCAGTGGGTTATACCATGTTATGCAATATCATACTATATTTTTCGGCCCCCGCCGCCTGACTAGAAAAAGGACCCCCCGGGCCCGTCGTGCATTTCCGGGCCCCGGAAAATGAAAGGATGGATGGGTTTTGGAATTTACGATGGGGGGTGGGTGGGGCGAAAGGCAGTGCAAAATAGGCATGCTAATTTCCTTGGTGGAGTTGCATCTCTAGGCTCCGTGGCATCAGGGATCCTTTTGCTGAGAGCCGTGGAACGTAGGATCGATGATATACCTTGGCGTTTGAAACTCCATGTTCGGCACGATGCACCGCATTCCTGAAGGTAAGTCGATGCGCTTGATATTCTTCGGTTTTTACTGTTGGGCCCCTAACCTTAACCCTTAAGTAAACCTGAAGCCCTAAACCTCCCCCTCCGTGCCCACCCACCACCCCAAGAACCAGAGACCGTGCCTGCATGAGTCGGAACTTCTCCCGTGCGGGGAGCTCGTCCGGATCGATGCGGACAGGGGGCGCTCGCTTCACAGCAGAAGCCTCGCCGGGCCATACACACATACATACATACATGTAAACATATATATGTATGTATATGTATATATGTATCTGCACACATGGATCTGTATATATATATATATGTACATGCTAGTGAATATGAATGAATATATATATATATATATATACATATACATATTATATAAATATAGATATATATATATATATATTTATATATATATATATAGATGCATGTATGCATGTATGTATGAATGTATGTATGTATGTATGTATGTATCTATGTATGTATGTATGTATGTATGTATGTATGTATGTAGTATTTGCTACCTATCTGTATGTAGATAGGTAAATGGATAGATAGATAGACAGACAGATAGACAGACAGATAGATAGATAGGTTGACAGATAGATAGACAGGTTGACAGATAGATAGATAGACAGATAGACAGATAGGTTGACAGATAGATAGATAGGTTGACAGATCGATTGATAGATAAGTTGACAGATAGATAGGATAGATGGATAGATAGATAGATAGATAGATTAGGTAGATGGGTAGATAGATGGAGAGGGAAATAGATACATAGATAGATAGGTAGATAGATAGATAGATAGATAGATAGATAGATATGTGGACAGACAGCTGGGCGTGTATTTGCACGCGTATTATACACAGGCAGAGGCGCTGCCCACACATTGCCGAATTGCCGGATCCAAGCGCGACAACCCTGGTCTTGACTGGCCAGACACGACTGCGGACCATTGCATGGACTCACGATAGCTTGGAAAGCCGGACATGAATTTCATGGTCAAATCCCCGGCCAGCAAAGGTTGTCACAGCACGGCCCTGCAGCGCCACCGGGACGGAAGACAGGACAAACGGGATTTGCTGGGCTTGACATGAATACCTGCATTTTCTCCCATCAAGACAGTCCTCAGCTCTAAACGAGGGAACCTGCGAAAACCTTCGACAAGGCTGACGCCATCCACCCTGTTTCCCCCATGCCAGACAAGATCACCATGCACATGGAGCATACATCATCTTCTTAGAACTCTCGAAGAACAGAATTAAGATCGCTCGGTGTGAAAGGCCTGTGCAGCTTCTGGCCTGTCTGGCGCGGCATGCGATGCGTAGAGAAGTATGCTAGGAATACCCCGCCTGGTGGCTGACACTTCCCATGGTTTGCGGGAGAGTGCACAGCGCAGAGACCCGATACCTACACTGGCCCTGAGCCTCATGCCAAACGTGCGAAGCTCCAGCACGAGAAATGCTGGCAATGGCGCTGGCAAGATGCAACTGACTCCGAAGGGCTTCTTGGTTCAGACTGCCGAGCATCCAACCCGGTTCGGATGCATCGGCCTGCAGAGCATGCGCAAGAAGCCTCATTGGCTTAATTTCCCGCCCTCGCCACTAATCCGATTTGGAGCATCTACCAGAATCCACCCTGCGGCTCTCCTTGCACCAAGGCCCATCTACTCATTTTCCTGGCACCGCGAAACGAGCTTGCCTCTCTTCTTCAAGAGGCATGGTCGGGCTTAGGCCGTCCGTCGTCACCATTCTGCGGCTGAGGGATGCTCAGAGTCTATGTACAGTCGTGTGCAATTCCATGGGCAATGGCTGCCGTCCGATTGGAGGAACTGTCTACGTTGATTCGTCTCCATAACTCACGCAGTCTCCATCCTGCACGAGGCATTCGCGAGCATCAAGCTGACAGTCAAAGGACTGAGCGAAACGATCCGAGGCTCCTCCAGAGCGCAGAGAGGTCGAGGCTCGGGCGGCAGAGCGCCTGGGAGCCTTTGAGTGAAAACTACGATAAAAAAAAGAGCCAGAGACCGAGAGCCTCCAAACTCAGGGCCCCAGGCCGGGAAGGCCAGCGAGGAGGTGCGGACGCGCCTCGACCTCGGCATCCTGGACCTCGGCAAGGGTCAGGACAGGGAGGAAGAGCCTTCTGAAACCGGGCCAGGATGGGCTGCAGGCATCCCACATGCAACCACGACCGCATCAGCAACCCGCAGGAAACAGAGCTTGAATCATCGCATCCCGTCACATCCAACATCCAAGCACATCAGCAACTCAGCAACGCGGAGAGCGGGCGTGGGGGGAAGGAGTGAGGGGGGTGGTCGATAAATCAATTCATTCTGATTTCGACCAACATCGAGGCCCCAGGGCTTACGCAAATAGAAACGAAAGCCTCGCCACGCCAGCTTTCGTGACATGCTTGAAAAACGTGTAGGCTCTCATGCACCTTTCGAAGTGACGATGAACACCGAAAGAGAACGCGCTGCGATGACGCAAGCTAGGCCTGTGTGCGGGTGGACCCATGGTTGGTTGGAGCGCATATCCGGCTGACAGGCTCCGATGGCCCTGATGCCATGGTAAACATCATGACCATGACACGGCTAGTACAGGTTCGTCCAAGGGATCAACTGAGTCACTGACAAACTTTTCGAGCTGCCCAGCAAGACTAGCGATGTCCTGTTGGTGAAGGGTGATTCCAATCTGCTCGGCTTGTGGGCGCAACAAGTAGGGGATCTGCCAACACTGAAAGCTAAGATGGAACACATCGGACTAAGGAGGGCAAATTGAACCAGGATCTGGATGCAGCCCACAACAACCTATGCCCATTCAGATTATCCCACCGTGCAAACAGCTTGACCAGGTACTCGTGCAAACTTCTCGGGCGAACTGCTGGCCCGGAACCCGTTTTGATTCGTAGCTGCAAGGTGGCATGCCAAACGCTCCCAGAGCCCTAAACCCTAAACCCTAAACCCTAAACCGAAGAGCCTCCAGTTGACGAACCGTGGCTTCCAGCATTTGCCTGGGCAGGGACTGACAGTGGAGACCTGCACATTCCGCGAGGAGTCGACAGGCCTTCGGGCCCAGAGTGCTAAACTCTCAAATCCGGACTGAGAGCTTTCCCTGTTCGAAGCCTGAAGGCTTTCTGAAGCGCCGACAGCCGTAGAAGTGTGGACAATGGTGGAGACAGGCAGTGCACTTGGGAGGCTCGGGCTTCAAGACTGCTTTCAGGGGCTGGATGCTGCACTTCCCAACAAGTTTTGCGACAAACAGCACTCGCAACGAAACAGCAGCACAAGAGAATGCTCTGGCTTTTCGTTACTTCCTGCATTTCTGTCGAGTCTGCCTTGCCACCCCCCACTCTGCAGCGACTTGTCTACATGTTCTTCCGAACACGGTCTTGCAACCTTCGACCGCCAGAACCTGGCTGCAGATTTCAGTTTGTTCTCCGGACAAAGAACACCGAGCACAAACACCATCTTGCCGAGGTGCAGGATGTTGCCCCAGATCGTCGAGACCTAAATGCCAGTCACACCAGTATAGAACAACAGCACCATGCCTATCGCGCCTGCCTTCGAATATGCTGTCCCAAACAAGCACGACAAAGCTACAACCGCGACAAAAGTTATGCACAAGGTCCCAACAGAATTTCCGATTCGCCTAACATCCCGTCCGACGGTCTGACGAGGTACTCTTCTGCGCTGGCAAGAGAATTGCTGGCAGTGGCTGCCGGGCAGACCGCGCGCCTGAGGACTAACAGCCACTCAGCTTTGGAAACGCAGGAAGCAGCAGCTGCAGCTAGTGCGCAGCCGCGTTTCTTACCACCCTGGATGTCTGACTCAACGCCGGCAACTCTGGCTGGCAATCCACAGTCTCCACCGAGGTACCGTAGACCGTCCGAGATCCAAACACTGAACGGGGCAAGCTCATAAGGCGGAGCCGACAGAAACAGGCATGGCTCACCTCCAGCACGTGCTCAAGCCACTCGCCCCAACGGCTGGGGAGACCGGCATCCTCGCACGGAAGTGGCAGCGTCGGGTTGTTTTTCTGCTTACTCCCTCCTAATGATGTGTTCGAGATAGAATCACCAGCGAGTGCGTATGCTGCTTATCTAACTTGCGTCGTGCCCGGCGTAGGAGGAGGCGGAAGGAGCAGGTAGAAGACGACGCTCCATGCACTCATGTAACTACATCTGCAAGTTGTTTGATCATGTTTTCGGAAATCCCGGGTCCGGCATCTGCGAGAGAAGCTGCTGGCCAGCCGAGGCCATATCTGAGGCCCTGTGCCTCACCTCCTGGGGACAACGGCAGCGGCAGGGCTGCTTCGGGGGCCCTGCTTTTTTGAAGCTGGGCCGCGGGTCTAGGCCCTTGGGCTTTGCGCCCGAACATGTGTACGCGGTCCTCAATGGCGGACAGGACGTGCCCGTGCCGTGCTTCCGGAAGGTCGCCTACACCCATGCACTGAGTGTCAGCTCATCTGCTCCTCTTTCTAGCAGAGCTACTAGTAACTAGTGCTGGTATCTGAACCCTGCCTCAAGCATGAACCTGCCGAATAGCCTCCAAACCCTGCTGACGCGCCTGGCCTAGCTGACACTCAGCCGACACATGGATCCACCGGAAGAGGAAGGTGAGCCGACGAACGTACCTCTAGCGAATTGCTCAACAAAGGAGCCAGTTGACCAGTCAGACAGCCTGGACATGATCCGGCCCCCAAAGGCCTTACTAAGGCCCTCTGTTTCGGATGCGGCACCGGAGGTAGACCAGCGAGAGCGAGGATGGAGGCGAGGCGAAAAACTCCGTCAGTTGCAGCTCCACCTCGCGGCTCCGGCGCGCTCAAACCCCGGCACAGCAACAGCCGAACCCGGACCCAGAAGGAGCTTCACCCGAGTGGGCATGTTGCTTACACAAATCCAAGGCCAGCCTCTGCATGCTCGAAAGCTGCTGCCGGATCCTCCCAACAAAGACAAGCACAAAAGATGGAGTCCGCCATGGAGTCATCTGCACCTCCTGCAAAGAAGTCGGTGGCTCGTTGGCCTGCGCCATGAGATCCTGGTGAAGGCAGATTCCGGATGACGACTTTCACTTCCACGTACTCGCGACCCCGCCGTCAGCGTCGACATGGTGCTTTGCCTCAGGCGAACATGCCACGAAGAAATGAAAACCTTTCTGCAGCTTCTCGCTTGTGCTGAGCATGCCACTGACACAGTTCGAAGGGCGTTCGGATGAACAACGGATGACAAACCTGGACCCGCGACCGGTCTTCGGGTTTGACTTGATTCTACATGTCCTGCTGCTCGCCAGTTGACTACTATGCGTCGCCCAAGCCCGGCACGGTCACCGTGAACCATCGCAAACACACCTGCTAGTGTAACTCAACACATGACATGAGCTCACGCTCTGAACATGATGTTGCACGCTCCGAAGCATCTCAGCAAAACCTACGCTGCCATGTCCTAGTACGAAGACGAACGGGCAAGGGGCTGGCTACATCGCCCCTGCCATACTTGCGGATTGGTCTTCTGCATGCAGATCGATACGAAATTGTCAGCTTGCAGGTCAACGATGCTTGCAGGTCAACGATGCTTTCTTTGGTCGGCTCTGTGTTTCTGAAGAGGTCCGATTGAGTGACTGGATGTTGCTGCGTCGTGCGGGTGGCATGCAGCGGATTCCAAGACCTCTTGAGCTTCACACATGGACACCCCAACTGCATCCTGCACAAAACTCCCACCGGTCTCAGATTTAACACTCATCTTCAAACATGTACGGACATCGGGACAGCTGGGAGCCGCTGACCTTACAAATCGTAACAGCATGATCCTCTGATGCTTGTTGCTCGAACCATCCTCCCTCACACGCATCTGAAACCGAAGCACCAACATCAACCCCTGCTGGGTTCGGGGCTGCCAAAAAGCCACGCAGACCTCCAACACCCAGCAGTTCCACGATGGCCTTGCACTCGGGCAAAGCTGTGCCTGGTATCTTTGAACTGAACCAGATCGTAAACTCGGATTCCTAAGCCTGAAACTGAACCCTCAACTTGCCGTTCCAGCCTTACTCTCCCCCGGCCTGCAGCAATGGGTCCAGCAGCATCTCCGACATCTGTTTCGAGGCCGGGGGCTCCATGCCTGATGCCATTGGTATGGTCATAGATGGTTCTACCTGAATAGGGGAGGGAGGGAGGGGGGAGGGAG